TCTCTGTGAAATAAATAAATTCTTTAAAAAAGGAAGAAAAATATTCATAGGTCTCACTTGACCAAAATTGTTGAAGCCACATGACTTATGCCAGATCTGAATTTTCTACTACAAGTAGGCATTTGTTCTTCAGTTTTACTAGTTAACGTAAGTACTAGGAATCCACCCATGCTATCACTTCCCTGCAAACACAGTTTATCTTTTCCAGACTTCAGAGAAGATAGAACCTGCCATAAATTGTGTAAACTCTTAAGCCAAACCATCTGAGGAGAATGCCTGTTGAAAAACAATACATCTTCCTCAAGCCATATTTAAAAATAGCTTGCTTAGAATATTAGGAAATTTCAATTAGATTAAGACGTACATGTAGTTATTGCCTAGTCCATTGCTCCTGCACTTGATCTGTCTTGTCTTTGAGTGCCTGCTGTGCTTACAGTCTCATTGAAACAACACTTCTTGACACTATTTCCAGTGAAACTTCTGGATGGAGGTGGCTACCCCATCTCGCATGCTTTCTGCAGCTGGCACATAATAAATCACAAATAGGGACATGAAAATAGAGTTACCAGAAAATCTCATTAAAATAACTAATCTTACTGTTTCTCCACAACTTGTGACCATGGGTCACTATGGCCACAGTACCCCTCCAATCTTCTTCAGTTAACACTTCTTTCTAGCAGATGTTTGCCCACCTTCTGCAGGTCACACTTCACGAAGGTGGACTCCTGAGCATTGTGTGTGTCTATGCAATTGTTACAGTTCAACTGCAATCAGAATGATTTCCTTATCCAAGCTGAATCTCATCTCCCTTCATTTTCCAAAATTGGATTCAGGTGACTCCATGGCTTTCAATTAATCTTTCATTCATTTCAAAACATTTATGCTTAAGTTTTAGCAGTAGCCATGAACCAAACTACTCAGGTTGTTCTATCTTTGCGGGAAGAATTTGAGACCTCTGAGCTCGGAAGCAGCCATAGCTACAGGCGAAGTCACAGCCATTTCAGTATCTTTACAGGTGCATAAAATCTGCCACTGAGGTCCCAGTGCAGCAAAACTTTCAGTGATGAAATTGCAGCATCTACAAGAAAAAGTACCCTACCTGCAGGCATTAGATGCAGAGCATAAGTCAATGCTAAAAGAGATGGAGCAATGCTGCTTGCACATGTTTGCAAGCTCTAACAATAGGTAGCTGGCTTCCTTTATCCAGGCAAATTTCCCTTGCTCCTGGCAAAGTGACTCATGATATGCAGTTTTGAACAGGTTACATAAAGTGCTTGTAATATGCTAAACAGAAGAGCTGCAAGATATGTAATGACAAGAAACAAACTCTAATTATATACTTGTGTGGCAGCCTTCAGACTAAACAGAGATTGTGGTAATCCAGTAACAGATTTTCACAAGTGCACATTTATATCTATTCTATTTTCTGGTGTGATTTTCTTCTGCACTTCTAATGTGCTTTGACAGACCTCTCTGAGCTTTATTCTTGCCATCACCCCGTTATTAAGCATCAGGATGCTACTGAAATCTGATTTCACAGGGGGCAGACTCAGGGCTTGTGTGATTGATGGCATTGCAATGCAGAAACTGCATTTGTGTCAGCAACTTCTCACAACAAAGTCTGCAAAATAGAGAGGAAATGAAAAAAAGCGGCACCTGCATACTCCAGATGTCTGTGACTGGATACAGATATCCAAGAGAAACTATAGTCTGGTGACCTGATTTTTGCAAGCATGCAATGGAACAAATGATCAGTCTCTCCTATATCCCTTACCCTTTTTCTCTCTGAGAAAAACCTTCACAACAAAAAAAAAACAGAAACCCAAACAAACAAAAAACCCAAACCAAAACCCCAAAGCAAAAGAAACAAAAGCTAACCAACAAAAAACCCTCCACCTTGAAAGAACTGGCCACAGTCTGCAGAATTTACAATTTCTTTGATCTCAAAGCTATTTTAATTCTCTACCTTAAAACTGCATGGAACATATATCTGTGAAGTGTCTCTTTCATTAACTAAGTTCTTTGATCTGGGTGACTGAAACACTTTATTATTCATATTCACACTGTAGACTTAACAACTTCTCAAAATTTACAAATAGACAGAAAATCCATAAGTAGCTTCAGATTATAATGTTTGTAAAAAAATGCATGCAGCTGAGCAGCCTAGCAGCCGCACCTTAAAAGACATAATTTAAAAGAGAGAAAAACACCCTGGTTTTCAAATGGGAGAAAAAAAAAACACACCCAAAAAAACCCACCAAAAAAACCAAACAAAAACCAACCAAACAAAACCAAACAAACAAAAACCAAAGGAAAAAAACCCACCCAAAAATCTAAAAAACCCCAAAACAAATAAACAGAAAGTTGTGTTCCCTCTTCTCTTAAGACTTTGACTACATAATAACAAACAATTAAAAGCCAGAAGAGCATTTATGTCAAAATACAGCAGTAGAAAAACTGAAAGGTACATAGAAAACAGGGGAAAGAAGGAGCATGATTCATAATAAAAATTTTGCTCTGTGTTGGTCCAGTTGTGCATTTCAGAGTCTGAAAGGGCTTGCAATGCTCATGCAAGCCCTTTCACAATGTTGTAGTAATGTAAGAAATTTCTTGGGACTTCAAGATGTTTACATTCATGCAGATGGCAAGTCAGCTGACTACTATAGTAAATTGAAGAGCTGGAGACTTAATTAATTCAGATAAAGATGTTACCTACCTCTATTTTAGCTGAGATGAACAAAATAATGAAGGAAATATTGCAATAATCTAAAATTCCAGAGAAAAACCTGATAGCCTTACAGTCTACTTATTATTCTGGAAAGTTTTATCATGGGTGAAGCCACAAGCGCTCTTCTGCAGATAACTTGTTTTCACCTGACTAAAGTTAACTTAAGCAGTGAAAAACCATCATTACTACAGAACTTTGTAATATGCGCATAGTAGTTATAACTACCTGAAACAGCCCAAGTAGCTGAAAAAGCACCAGGTGAGGAACAAGATCTTCCCCAGGCCAGACTTCTGGAGAAGTGACACAGGAAGTCACGGGAAGGACTGTTAAGTATTTTTCAATCAAACAAGTGTAACAATACATGACTGGAGAACTGTAAATGGAACACCCGTGGGCAATTTAAGACAGGCAGCATCTATCTGCAAACAAGCCTTCTACAGAGCAAGCTTTCTCTGTGTAACTTACCTAAAACCATGGAACTAAATGAGAAATTATATGAAATGCCTCTGATGAACACAAGTCCTACTAGGCTTACCTATACTTCCAGACATATATTATTGATACCTCTGAACAACCATTTTAAAAAAAGAAACAATGTATATGGAATATCTGAAGGAGGTGAGAATCACAGAATCACAGAGTGGTTTATGTTGGAAGGGACCACCAGTAGGGTCATCTGGACCAACCTCCCTGCTCAAGCAGTCTTCAAGATTTTACAGAAGGTGCAAAGTTTCTAAGGAATTTGACTTAAGAAAAGAGAGACATTGTTAAAAGTGAGGCAGTTAGCTCTGCATGGATAAATTTTGAGATCAAAATTTATTAATTTTTTTTTTAATTATGGCAAAAGGAGGAGTATGATGATACTATTAGGTAATAATACTAAACTTTTAGGGGCATATGCAGCACAGGATCTTGAACATAGAACAACTGAAGGTGTAATTATATGAAAAGGAAATAAATTGGCATATGATACAACAACTGGCGGTTCAGGGACAGAACTTGGAGGTGACATTTACTATGATCTGTGAGTGTGATGTGGCTGTGAATCACAGGTCTTGTCAGAGGTACTTCCAATAGATACACAGTAGAATTTGTGCCATAGTGAGAAGACTTTATACAGCTTCCTCTGAAAGGTTGTGAATTTATAGTTGAAAAGGAACGTAGAAGAATATGTGGGATGACCAGGGGGAATGGAAGCTTGCCTACAGCTATTACTAGTCTAGTCTAGCAACATAAACCTGGAGAAGTTCAGGCACTGAAGATTTCTTCCTTTCTCATACTAATTGTCAAGACAAATTCCGACTTCTATATTTTAAAGTCGTCAGTTGGGAAATTTAAACTAACCTGTATTCAAAACAAACATTATTTCCTTCCATTTCTGAGAAAATTATCTGGAATGCTAAGACCACCAAGGTACTGGCAACATAACTGCCAGGAAAAGGGGTGGTAAAAGTAATAGCTTATTAATCTCCTTGACTTTACCAGCAGTACTGTAAACAGTAACCAGAAATTAAAAATCCTAATCACTGTATGTACTGCAGAAGCATGTGGATGACTGGGCTAGATTACAGAATTAATTTTAAAAACATAACGACCATTTCTTTAAGATGATCTGTCAAAGTAGTGATCAAATCCAGTAGCTAACAATTTGGCTGTGTAGACATGTAAAGAAAAATTTGCTTTTATAGCTCAGCTTAGTTATCAAAATTGCTAGTGGACCTAAATAATGCTGGTCACAGACAATCATTATCAGAAAAACAAACCCCAAACCACTATCAGCAATATCTAAATGGACTATTGATGCATGCTCCTACATTAAATATGTCCTCTCTTACACATCTCTTTTTAAAAAAATACTTAGCAAACAAATAGTGGTCTGCTTGGCAAAGTGCTAGAAAGGTGCTTTGCTTTTCAGGTTTGTAGTCTAGACACATCACATAAACACTCAGAGCATTTGGAAACTTAGTAAATTTCTTACAATAGTGTTTAAGCTCAGAGATGTATCTGTTGCTAAGAGCAAAGAATTTCTATCAATCTAGCAAGATGGTATACTTTAAACCTGGACTAAACAAGTTTTAAATAGTCAGCTCTATGGTGGATAGAAATGCCTTATGATTTCACAGGAGGGATAAAGTAATTTAAAAAACCCCATGGAACATGTTTTATTCATTCTTGGTTTTAATCAGTTCTGAAATATATTCACATACAGAAGGTCTGAATTACTGACATGAAGGGAAAAACATACAATAAAAAGGTTGAAGGTTTTATTTACCTTTTTATATGTTTTCTCTTCATTTGGCTTTCCAGCAGTAACGTCTCCATTTTCAGTAACAGACGACATCTAATAACAGAAGCTTAAGTTACAAAGAAGGTATTTGCTTTACAAAATAAATTGTTCAGAAAAATAATACATTTTATTATCCATTTTTGCTAAATTCAAACTTTTCAGAGATCAGTGATGTATCTAGGATATTCCTTCTACATATTTTCCACACAAACTAAAAGGACAGCAGTGGCCCAGGAATATGTGCAGCATATGACTGATTCTACATGACTCTGCTTCTTTTCACTGCATACACCAGTATGCAGTGAACTCATGGTCCTCAGCCTATTGCATGACATGTTCTTCCTGAAAGGGCAAAACTATGAAGCTTGTGAGCTGAATATTCAGTGGCATGTCTCAGTAGTCCAAGGTCCTTGGCTGCATCAATATGCTGAATCTCCTTAAAGTAGTAAGAGAAACATAGAATAACATGGAATTGCAGAATATTCTGAGTTGAAGGGACCCACAATGATCACCGAGTCCAATCCTTAAGTGAATGGCCCATACAGGGATCGAAGCCACAGCCTTGGCATTATTAGCATCATGCTCTATTTGACATTGTATCTTATCACAGCTGTAAAGCGATTCTAGACCAAGGATAAACCACTAAGATAGAGATCACCTTGGTAAGATACCCTGAGTGCATCTGCCAAAGTAAACAAAACAAAAAGGCACAATGACATGTTTTAAAATAATTCTAGATTTTACCAATACTTTCACAAGGGAATTATACTTACCCTTATGAACAACAGAACAGGTCATCTGGAGCTGAGAGTAAAGATCAAGCCATTCATTGGTGGTTGTAATGTTTTTCACAACCTATTGTAGGAAATATTTGTCATAACTATGTCTTAACAGATTTCCACCTCACAGAATAGCTGTAGATTTCCTTTTACTGCTATTCTTCAGCCCAAGCAAGCATTCAGCTACAAGTGAGGCTTTTAAAGAATCATGTCAAATAAGTTGGTTACTATACTTGGAACTTACTATACTTAAAACATATCATAACTTCGTTAGTGTAGTTAGAAACTAGCAGTATTAAACAGGAGGGAATCAGTGCAGAATAATTCCTTTTTGCCCTAGATATTTTACCCCTGTGGCACAAGCAACTCTGCAATAAAACATTTATGTAGAGCAGTACACATACATGGAGTGTTGTGTAACTACACGTGTTATTAATCTTACAGCCTTATCATCTCCAATCACTTATAAAAAATAGCTGTGATGGTTTGGAAGACAGCACATTGAAAGTCACAGATTACAAATTTGAAAAAAAAATCTAGTGACATCTTAAATGAGAAGACAATCTAACTTTGTCTTTAAGCAGTTCAAATAGCATCTTGTACATAAATAAAAATTGGTTTAAGAAAGTATTCTCAGGCCTCATTCACTGATTTTAAATTTCCATTAATCTAAAGAGTACACTACCAAGGAACTTTAATTAAAGGAGTCAAAATCAGTATTTTCCTTTCCTTTTCTTTAGAGAAGCACTTGAGCCAAAAAAAAAAAAAAAAAAAAAAAAGGTAGGGGCACACAACAAATAGACTTGGAGTCTGAGAAGAAAAAACTTGGAGTTTCTGAGAAGAAAACAATGTCTTCTTAGAAAAACATACTTCTTACATTGCATACCAATATTTTCTTCCTGCAACTAACTGCATTCTTCATTGTAGCCTCCATGTAAGTAATGTGTGTTAATTAATAATTCCTTCATTTGGATGTGTATTAGCAGTATGCTATACACTGAACTCCTACTTAAAGGCAATGACTTCATTTTTATAGCTTTTTAAATTGTATGTAGTTACCTTACTCACCTGTATTCACACATTTAATATTAGTATTCACCCATGTGTACAACTCTGTCAGTACACAAAGGCATCAAGAACTTGCTCAAATAGCTTTTGTCATTTTAATTGCTAGTAGACGGCTTTTAAAATAACTGATCACTGGGTTAAAACACCAACCCCCAGCCAAGCTGTTGTTCTCCACATACCTCCCAAGACTATTGATACTATTAAATATGATGTTCCACTACACACAAAAGTTCCTAAATTATGAGCACACAGAGTCAGCAAAAGCCAAACATAAATGCACCATGGGAGCTTTCATTCAGTAAGTTAGCTGAAGAAAGCACTCATGCTAGACAGGGGAGAAAAGCCTGGTTTTTTTCCCAGCATAGACAGACAAATTATTCAAGAACACTTCACTTATGTGAAAATATACCCCTGCAATGCTGACCACAATAGAAAACAGACAAGAGACCAAGTTCAGTAACTACCAAGTGTAAAAACTCATACACCATAAAGAAGGTAAATTTTTCCTGTATGTGTCAGTTCATTTCCTAAAGGCATTTAGAATAGAATTCTTTTTGTTCTAATCTTTTGAGAAACAGAACACACTGCTCTATCTTAACTGTGGTTGTGTTAAACATCTTTTAAAATCTGTGCTGGGACAACCATCTCTTGTTCCATGCTAACAGTTTTTTGCAAAGCAAGTATTACTTTGTGTATTTTCCTCCTGCCCTAGAGCTACTGAGGCAGTACATGGTGCCTTCTTACATGCTTCATAATGCACAGAGCAACAGCTACTGTCTCAGTTCCGATGAGGTTTAACAGTTCAAAGACAGGTCACAACTTATAGTCTTGGACTCACTTCCAGGCTAAGCTACAACTATTTATTTTTTTGTTACCATAGCAGGAGACTACTGTAACTAAAGCTCTCAATCTCTGTATGTACCTGACAAAGGGAAAGCTCACAATAAAGTAAGACATGGGGTAGGTGTAGAGGAAGAAAACACTTTGTTTCAGAAATATTGTAGCATGGTGACTTCCACTGGGATTAAGTTAATTTTCTTCACAGTAGCTAGAGTGGGGTTAGGTTTTAGATTTGTGCTGGAAACAGTGTTGATACTTCAGGGATGTCTTCTACTCTTGCATAGTGCCTACACAGCGTCAAGGCCTTTTCTGCAGACTTGCTGCACCCTTCCAGTGCATGGGCTGGGAATGCACAAGGAGCTGGGAAAGGAAACCAGCCAGGACAGATGAACCCAGCTGACCAAAGAGATATTCCAGACCACATGGCATCATGCTCAGCATATACAGCTGGAAGAAGAAGGAAGGGAGGATGATCAAAGTGACTGTGTTTTCCTTCCCAAGTCACCGGTAGGTGTTATGGGGCCCTGCTTTCCAGGGATGGCTGAACACCTTCCTGTCCATGGGAAATGGTGGATGAATTCCTTGTTTTGTTTTGCTTGTATGCACAGCCTTTGATTTACCTATTTACCTATTTGGAGATAAACAGTCTTTATCTCTGCCCCTGAATTTTCTCACTTTTACCCTATTGATTCTCTCCCTGATTCCATCAGGGGGTAGTGAGTGATCCAGTGTGTGGGGCTCAGTGGCTGGCTGGGCTTAAACCATGAGTAAAAGATGGCTATAATGATCTCATCTTTAGCTTCTTAGATGCTATTCTACCTGATAACAAAGAAAGAGAAACATTAAAGTACAGTAGGAATTGAAAGAGTTTTTTTTTCCTAAATACTCTTGAAGGGTCAACATTTTGGTCACAAATCTTATGTGCAATAAAAACTACTGTCTTCTTGAAACATAAGATTACAGCGTTCAGTTCCAGCCTTCTGCTCCAAACACCTCCTAGTCCTAAATGCAGACTTTAAAAAAATAACATCTATTCAATGTATGCTTTAAAAAAAAAAAAAAAATTAAAAAAAAAAAAATCATGTTTCACAGTTTAGTTTCTCACACCAGAATCACAGAACCACATGCTTCTTAACTAACACAAACTGCAATTTCCATCACTCTGGGGGAAAAGTGCCATAGGCATTTTCCTCTAGAGCTACAGGGACACCTTTTTTCTTTCTCTGATCAGCCAGAAGCCCACAATGTCAACACCACCCTGCCCACCACATAGCTGTCATTTTGGAACAGAGATAACAGACAGCAAACGTGAGTTTCCTACCCAGCTTTGATTTCTTGTTCTTGAATTTTTAATTCCATGTTACTTATATAGTCAAAATGTATCTTTTACTAACAGCATAAGGTATTCATTTTTGCAGATTATAAATAACCAGCTGTTTTTTACACAACCCCAGTTGCTGAGGCCCAGCTCACATGAACAGGTATTTGTACCTTACACCCAAATGGCCTCTCAGCGCAATTTCAAGTTAACTTTACAACTTCCAACAACTTCAGTGAAAGCCAACATCCATGAAAAATGCTATTGCTAGATTCCTACAGACCCATGTATTAGTTCATTCAACCAAAAATCAGGTCTACTTTTTTTCCATTACCATGAAAACTTTTTGGGTTTTTTTGGAGAATGCACTTCTCCAAAATTTATACCACTTTCTTAAACAAAGAATTTTTTAAAAGCATTAATAAAACATGCTGTTGAGGAATCACACTCCAAATAAGAGCAATGTAACTTTTCATTACATGTAATTACATGTTCTTGTTCTGAATGATAGTTAAAATTTAAATATTCTTCATAGCTTTTTTACAGACATACCCCTGGGTGTACTGCTGTCAGGCTTCTGCAGTGAGTTAGAAACCTCACACAAAAGAAAACATATTTATAACTTCTCACAGGTGTAATCTTTAAATATGAGTAGTAAAAAAAAAAAAAAAAGATTAAACAAGATTAAATGAAGCTTTAAATTTTCCATTAGGCAGAGGGAGAATACTAGAAATTAGAGAATTCAATAAACAATTGAATAATTGAATAAACAATTAAACATACATATGTTTAGTATTAATAATATACAAATAAAATAGATGGTACAGTGCAGATTTTTCAGTCTGAAACACATAAATGCATTTTCAGAAACACTTTGGGTTGGGTTTTTTTTTGGCAAGTGAATGCATTGGGATGGAATACACAATTTTTGACTCAATCCATCAACTTCATTCTCATAGTTTCTGTGCATTTCAGATTACCTATTTATTTAACTGTTCTTAATACTTTAATAGTTCTCTTTTTCCAGGAGGACACTAAATTCTCAGATT